TTGGTAAGTAAACAATTGTATACATGCTATCTACTTACTTTAGTAATATATTTATAAAAGTGAAAAAAACGATATAATTTAGGTAAACAAAATGAACAAAACGCACTCAAAAAATCTACTGTCACTTTAATTGTCAGTGAAACTATAATTACATCATCACTGAACTTGCGCATTGTATGCTTATCGTTTTGGTGATCAAACTTTGTTGAGAACTCCGCTCGGCGCTTTCGTTGCTATACGTTTTTGGCTAAAAGTTAGAGAATAACCCCCCAGAACCTTTTAGAAAATGTTCAACGCCGGGCTATCAGAATGACCTTTGAAGCATTCCAACCATCATATGCAGAAAGACTACAGTTGTCAAACTTACCAAAATTTTGTGAATCGTCGACTACGAGGGGGCATAATTTTAACTCTTAGAATACTTGAATGTAATTACGGAAGTCTTAGTGACCTTTTTTTTTTGTTAACTACTGACTTTCTTCTACGTGGTCATGAACTAAGATTAAAAAAAAACCCAAAAACGAAGCATAGACAATCAGTCATTTCCAACCGAGTATTAAATGTATTAAACGATCTCATCGACGACATTGTTGATGCCATAAGAGTTAACGTCTTTAAAAATAAGTTAGACGAGTCTTTGCTTAACATTTTTATTTCATAGAGAAGAACTATTTGTTATACTGCAAGCTTTAAGGTCTGTAACCCAAAATAACAAAAGAGTTATAATATACACGGATTCTGTTGCCTCAATCAAATCCATCAAAATATCTACAGTTCTTACCTCCTCATAAAAGCCATACCTAAACGTTACCAATAGCTTTCCTCTGAAGGATTAATGTCAACTATATTGTGGGTTGCCTCCCATGTTGACATTAAAGGAAACGAAGTGGCAAACTGCAGCAGAAGAAGCAGTAACATCCAATCTTCCTATCGAAGGAGTTTAACTTTTTTAAACGTAAGAACTATTTGACGTGACAAGAACACTGGATCAGAACACCTTATAAGTTTAATGAGATTTGCCAATCCGTCAATCTGTTCCACGGTTCTTCATTGCCAAGGAAAGATAAAACAGCTATTCAAAGACTACAATTTTTACTAAAACGAATACATTAAATTTCTAAAAATATTTAAAAGACATCAAATTGAGTTCTAATATTCAATTAGTTTTAGTTATATATTAAATGTAAGCCCTACAATTAATTTTGTACTAGTAGACAAGTACTATTAGACTAGTAGACAAATTAATTTTAATAATAACAAAAATTAACTTAGTCTGAAACTAAAACTAAAAACGCCTATATATTTTTCTATATATCTGTTATTTTTCTTGGAAGTCTTATTTATAATATTTTACTTTTTAAGATTGAATAATCAGTCATAATAAAGTTTAACCAGTATAATGAGGATGTTTTGTATTCTTGCTTCCAAATCTTTAATATTCCTTAACAAATCCTGAAAAGTTTCCAGTATCTTAGAATAAACTCCGAGAACTTCTAATTAATTGCTAATCTGAAAACTTAAATATCATAAGAAATTTTAGAGATGCAAAATATCGTTCGTGCATAATTCCGACTGGGAACTCGTTCGTCTAGGAATTTATCAATTTTCTAATTGCTCGCCTGTACATTTAGTGTTTCCAGAACTTGACCGTAAATTAAAAGTTGTGACTTAAACAACTTAACGTAGAGTTCCCTTCGAGGCAACTTCCATTTTCGCCTCTTGAGTTTCCGCTTCATCTCATTTCGCACTCTTTTTCAGAGCCATTATTCAACTGGAGCACTTTTAAAACTAAGACCCCTCTGTAATTTTTCAAAATAATATCATTAAATCAGTATTGGGCTGCCGACTGTGTCCTCGAATATTATTTGTTGGAGTTGGAAAAAAGAGAATGAAATGTTCGGTCTATGGAATTTTTCTTTGTTCCTTTAACGACTGATATCATGCTCGCAGGTCGTTGCAGGTAAAAGGAATGTACGGTTTCGAAAAATGTCGGTCTGTTTTAATGATTCCGTTCAAAAAAGAACCCAATTAAAAATTGTTTTTATGAAAAAATTCTATGATGTAGACATCATTTTATCGTATCTTTCATGTTGCCTTATTAATCAACTTTGAACAGTATTAAGTTATTTGTAATTTGTACAGAACTTCTTTTTTTATTTAGTGGGGTATCAAAATGTTTTCTTAAAATTTGCATAATTTACTCCAATGCAGTATCATTCGAACAAACTTCTCTAAATTAGACCATCCATTTGGAACAGCGGCCCCTACAGCGCCTGGTGGAGCACCATGGATCATTATGTTTTCCTTAAAGTTCACACGAGGAAATATGAACATTGGAGGGACACTGTTTCCAATAGCATTTATACATGCGATCATAGTGACATTTTGACTCATCTCGCCTGATGTCGCGCTTCCCACTTGCTTTTCGCCTTTGACTGCTATAACTTTCCCTGGATTATGGACGGTGCTGTTGGATGTTTCATCCATATTGCAGATGCTGCTGGCATCGAATTTATATTTTTTCATCACACTTTTTAGTTTAAAAAAAAAAAACTGTTGACATTGCGTCTGTTAAAACTGGTGGCTCTAGATAAGCTAGTAGCTTCGGGTTTGCGTAAACTTAAATTGGGATGCCTTCTTATGAAATTCCTAAACCAATGCTTTCCTGCTCTTTTATTTTTTTTCCATGATGCTGGTAATACTTTGTGGTTTGCAGATGTAAACTGATATGCTAATGTTCTTAGCTGATGTATACGTAAGCCATAATGTATCTTTGATGCAGTAACAAGATATTTGCATAAATCATCTTCCTCATGGCGTTCAAAAATCTTTTTAACTGTACATTTTTCGTAAAACTGGTAACTCCCTTCTTCATTAGCTTCTTGGCTCATGTAACGCTTAAGAATAGCCCTTGACACCCTGAATTGTTCGCCAGCAGAACGTTGAGAAACGCCACTTAAGACAGCATTTCTGGCTTGCTGTAAGTTCTCCAGCAAAGGCTTAGTGCGTTTCTTCCCTTCTTTACTACGTGGCATCTGCAACAATAGGTATTGCCTTTTGTAGACTTGAAAAAAATCACACCATATAAAAAAATACCTATATCGACTTTGGCGGTTCAGGGTACAATGGTGTTATCGTACCTTGAGCCGGCCCAAGGTACGAGGCTGCTTCGCGGTCCAAGGTACGCAGCCTAACACTAACGACTAAGTAAATTGACATAACATATACCGCTGATAAAAACGTTATAAAAATTACATAGATTATGTACAAAACAGATAACTATCTAAGTAGCGATTCAGTAATAAAATCCATAAAAAAGCTAAAATAATACGTAATACAAAATAAAAAATACTAACTTTTTCCTCTTTATTGAGACACCGTGCAATTTTCACCGTTATTTGTTTTCGAAAGGCAACCAATCACATACTTTGATTACTATACGAGGCAAAAGAGAGGTCCGACACGCCCAACATAGGGCGCGGCCATTTTGAACCCTGTGACACAGTTTACAGCTAAAGAATCAGATCGCTCACTCTGCGTCGGCACTTTTGATCTCAATGTTTCAGTTTATACACTGTGCAACTCGGATAATACAATATATGACAACCGCCTATAATAAAACAGCAGTCTTCTACGTATCCTGAATTTGTATCCCTGGAGTGAATGTTATTTTGGAACTTTCAACTGGTCCGAGTGAGCTAACTGATTCTTTAGCAATAAACTGTGACTTCAAAAATAATATTCACTGACACTGACAGCAGCAAGCAAAATATCAGGTGCGTTTTAATCATCCGCTTCTGCTTCCGGAATTGTCGGTTTAGTCGTTTTAACCTGTCAGATTAAAACAAGAAAAACGGAAATTCCGAAGCAGAAGTGGATGATTAAAACGCACCTATTAAAAATATTGCGCCAAGATGTAGGCAACACGTAATAAGGGTTCAAAATGGCATAGTTTTCTATCTACTTTTAAAAGGCACTCAGAAAGCTGCGCAGTGCGACCATTCTCCGTTTAGTAAAAGAAAATCAAAGTATGTGCAACCAATTAATTATGACAGATGATTGATGAGTCAGGGTGTGTTCACAAAGGTTAGGCGATTTTTTGCGCATAACCGTTATTATAATATTCGAATGGCTCAAGGTACCGAACGGCTCAAGGTACGGGACCTTCCCCTACAGATACAGAACCCCCTGTATCTCCTTAACTAATTATTTTAAGGGTCCATGTTCTTATATTAAAATGCATCAATTAATGACTCTGGACTACAGATTTATAGGTCAAATATACTAACACCTCGTATATTGTAAGAAATAAAGGGAGTCAAATTTCGCCTAAGTTAGTGGTTGCCGCTCATTTAGACAACTTTTGTTCTATCTGAAACCCTTCGAATTATGTCAAGAGACCTCATTAATTCAGCGAAATGTAGTCGAAGCCCTCTTAATAGCACTTAATTTGTCTATTTTATATCCAATCCAATATCGCTTCTCGTTTGGCGTACGTTCGATTGTCCCAAATCTGCAACATCCTATTTAAAATCAAATGAAATCAAGGACGCATCAACGTCACTCTCATTAACAACTTCATCCTCATCGTAGTGAATCCAAATTGACACGTCGAAACGAAATTACCACATATTTTCTTAGCAAAATTAACCAATCGAACTTTAGTTTCTAAATCCGCCGAATGTGCGCCGCTGTGGCGCCACATGCGCAGGATTACGGAGAAAGGATGTCTTCGTCAGTCGGTTTTCAGGACGAAACGTGCAACGTGTTCGTTCGACGCGGACTGGATTTAACCACGAGTCGGTAAACAGGATTTCGTTCCTGTCGGTTTTTAACGGTCTTATACTAAATTCTTTAAATTATATCAGTGTTAACTATTAAAAAACAGTGATAAGTAAAAATTTTGGAGTGGATGTTTGTGACAAATATAGAAAAAAGTGTTATTTGTGTTAGTGCGATTAGAAAAAATATATAAATTATGAAAATCTCTGACTAAAATCATGGCTTGGGTACTTCGAAGATTTATTTTTCCTTTGTTATTGTTCCTTTTCAACGATAGATCGTCCAGAAGTGAACCTATTTCGGACCCGAAACCCCAATTAACATCTCGGACGGTTAGAACTAAATACGGTGACGTTAGTGGAGTTATCGTAACCTTAGACGCAAAACATCTCGAACCTGTTGAGGTGTTCCGCGGGATCCCGTACGCGAGCCCGCCATTGGGCAGTTTGAGGTTCATGCCGCCGGTTACTGGTGCATTGTGGCAGGGTGTGAAAATCGCCGATAGATTTAGTCCTGTGTGTCCTCAGAGGTTGCCGGATATTTCAAACGAAACCGCAGCTTTGAGGAGGATGCCAAGAGGTCGATTGGAATACTTGAAGAGGCTGTTGCCCTACTTCAAGGAGCAGAGCGAGGATTGCCTGTATTTGAATATTTACGCCCCAGCTCAAGGTAGGAGAGCTATGTTGCTTTGAAAATTTGTATAAATTACGAGGATTTATTTGGGTGGCTCGTTTATAGTTCCGGGCACGTAGTGATAGCACAATGTGTCACACCTCGTGCTCGCAACCGGCATAGCGTTATAGATTAAGTGCTAAATTATGTTTTATGATATAATAACTACTAAAAATTAATATATATTTCATGTAAATAAGTCTTATTTATTGGTTTGAACGACTGAAGGAACGAAAATTAAAATTAATGTTTTACAAGAAAGAATATATATTTTACTAAAGCATCAATTTAGTAATTTAAGGTCCGATCTTTTCACCTCTGCGTAAAGTTATATATAGGATTATTTGACAGATTAACAAACAATAGCTCTATAGTTTAATCTGCAAGTAGTTACTCAGAGGTAATAATGCTGGCGCTTAATATTCTAAAGAGGTAGACGAATTAGTCAGCTAAGTAACTATAAAATAAATAAGGGCGAAGTAAAATTATTAACATTATTCTGGATATGGATTCATTACAAGATAATAGGGTTTATACGGACCTACCTCCTCACACATTTCTGACTCTAGATATAGCTCTACCTATCGAATTAAATTTAGTACACAATTTATTAAAGTTTCAGAGTTATATCTGCGATACAATATTTTGATAGATTATATCGCCGCCAAAAGAGATTTCTAGCACAATAATAGATTACGCGAGAGATCTTCATGATTAGATACGAAGAGCGTTGCCAAACTTCAATATAATTTTGTTTTTCTTGCTTATATTGTAAGCCGCTGGAGGTGAGGTGATAAGGGCGGTCGGCCCAAGCGATCCAGCTAAGAGATGGATATGACCTGGCGAGCTTTTGTTAAGTTTTCCACTAGTCTGTTCTAGACTATTCTCAACTTTACTGACGGTAGTAAATAATAGCTATTTGTTTAATTAGGCAGAGAAATAACATTGAATCTGATTATCTGCCGTGCGAAACAGATAATTTTTTTCTGATTGTAGAGTGTGATTAAAAAAATCAAATTAAAATAAAAACTTTTTTATAACGGATACAACTCATAATTTTTAATATTTTTTCTAATCGTATATTATAGGTAATAATTAAATCGTATTTTCTAATTATTATTGTTGATTATACCTTAAATTGTATACATAATAATATCTACCGAAAAATAAGACACCACTGTTAGATTCAATTTGCTTTAGTCTTCTTTATCAATTGATTGTCCATGAGATAGAGGTTAGTGGATTCCATGGGTCTGTTTAAATCACATTACCATTGCCGTTGCTAAGTAAAGTCTGGGTTGTTATGTACCTTTTCTATATTGTTTAGTTGAAAATCATCATTTTTTATCCGTTTATCTTAAGATTAAGTTGTTTGGAGAAGAGATTGTAATCTGTGTTTAGAGATATTTTCTAAAATAATGGAAAATGATGAAGAAATAATAACACCTTCCGAAATTAAAGAATTAGCAAAAGATGCAGAATATAATTTGTTGCCTACAAAATCCAGAAAATTGTATGAGATGTGTTATAGAAACTTTATGGATTATCGCAATAACAAGAAAATCGGATCATTTTCAGAAAATGTTTTACTGGCGTATTTTGTAGAATTAGCCAAGAAATTGAAATCTTCTACTCTATGGTCTACATATTCTATGTTGAAGACTACTGCAATATTACCTTGACACGTTGCACGCCAATTTGTAATATACGTCGTTACCTTTTTGATAAATGTTAATTTCAAAACACTTATAATAGTATATTATGCAACGATCATGTAATGATGGTTATTAATACACGAGCATTAACCGGGATACGAAACGAGCCAAAGGCGAGTTTCGTATGGTTTATGCGAGTGTTTTAATAACCATTACATGAGAGTTGCATACGCTATTTTTTCTACACCCGATAAATAATCAAGACCTATAAATATTATATTTATATTGGTATTGAACACAATAACAGTAATTACTCGTATTTCTATAAAAAATTCTACAAAATTGTAATTAATGGTATTACTTCAGGTATTGGTATTTCCCTAGATTTTTGCGGTAAAATATTTTGTACTGTATTTTCTGCTTTCTCCGATATGTGTGGAGGAGTCTTCTATATCGCTAATATCAGACATTTTAATATTATAATTATCGAAGTTTAGCTACCTACGAAAATTTAATACGTTTTGACAACTAAAATAATTACATAGGAACCTAGGACAAACGTCAAACAGCATGCTTGATTGAAAAATTGTAGGTTTCTATTGATTAAAAATCTGTATCGTAATGAAAAATCTGTATCATAATGGGTATCATTATGAAACGGATTATGGGCATATAAGTGCATTATTATAATACGGGTGTAGAAAAAGAGATTTTTCTACACCCGTATTATAATAATGCACTTATATGCCCATAATCCGTTTCATAATGATACCCATTATGATACAGATTTTTCATTATGATACAGATTTTTAATCAATAGAAACCTACAATTTTTCAATCAAGCATGATGTTTGACGTTTGTCCTAAATTCCTATGTAATTGTTTTAGTTGTCAAAACGTATTAAATTTTCGTAGATAGCTAAACTTCGATAATTATAATATTAAAATGTCTGATATCAGCGATATAGAACACTCCTCCACACATATAGGAGAAAGGAGAAAATGCAGTACAAAATATTTTGCCCCAAAAATCTGTGGTAATACCAGTACCCAAGATAATACCATTAATTACAATTTTGTAGAATTTTTTATAGAAATACGAGTAATTACTGTTATTGTGTTCAATACCAATATAAATAGAATATTTATAGGTCTTGATTATTTATCGGGTGTAGAAAAAATAGCGTATGCAACTCTCATGTAATGGTTATTAAAACACTCGCATAAACCATACGAAACTCGCCTTTGGCTCGTTTCGTATCCCGGTTAATGCTCGTGTATTAATAACCATCATTACATGATCGTTGCATAATATACTATTTTACTAGCTCAGTGAAATTTAATATCAAAAGTTACTTACCTTAAAAATTAAAAAAAAAATAAATGAGCACATTAACCATATTTTTCTCAGTCGTGAATTCGGCTTTTCCAATAGACAATTTTAGGGTAATAATTTTTCTAGATAATGTTGAGCACCAATAATTCTCTTTTTTTATTTTTAAAAGCTAGTGAGAATTATAAACTCTAGTTTTATCAATAAAAAGAAGTTAATATAAACTTATACAGCATTTAGTGTGAATAAAAGAGAATTGTTGTAACCTTTAAAAAATAATTTTCAACATATACGAGGATGTATCAGAAAATAACGAGACTGGTGCTATAGTATAACAACGAAACATTTATTTAAAAAAAATCAACAACTATCCTTCGAAGTACTCTCCATTCTATTGAATACACTTATTCCATCGCTTTATGCACTTATCATAAACTTCTGAGAAACCATTTTTTGATAGTCTGTTTAGTATACCCATCACAGCGTTGTTGAGCTCTAAATCCGACTCAAATCTTCTACCTCTCAATTCTTTTTTGACTTCAGGAAACAAATGGAAGTCACATGGAGCAAGGTCAGGAGAGTAGGGGGGATGAACTATAATTTCAACCCCTAATTCTTCAATTGTTCGTTGACAAATCATTGATCTATGAGCCGGAGCATTGTCGTGATGCAGCGTCCAGCCAAAGTCCTGATAAAGCGGCCTTTTTTTCTTTAATTTTGCCTTTAGGGGTCCTCGAAGTACATTAGAATAGTACTCTCCTGTTACTGTATGTCCTCTAGGTACAATGTGATCGTAAATAACTCCAAATTTATCAAAAAAAATCAGGTGCATCACTTTACCAGCGCTTTTAGCAGTTTTGGCCTTCTGCGGTCTTGGGCTGCCTTTATGCTTCCATTGCATACTTTGAGACTTCAATTCAGGATCGTAATGATAAAACCAACTTTCGTCACATGTAACCACATTATTTAAAAACTGTGGGTTACGTTGCAATTGCCTTTTCCACTGCTGACAAATTGTCACTCGATTCGCTTTTTGTTCATCGGTCATCACTTTTGGAATCCATCTTGCCGCGATCTTCCGGTACTCTAAATCTTCATGAATAATTTTTTGAGTGGTACCGTAAGACAAATTAACATTATCAGAAATTCGTTTTATGCCAATCCGGCGATCATTTTGTATCAAGTCGTTAATTTCTGCAATTTTTGTGTCATTTCTCGCAGTTTGTGGTCGACCGGGACGAGGTTTATCTTCAACTGATTCACAACCGACTTTAAACTTTTTATGCCACTCAAACACTCTACATCGTGATAAACTATTATCTAGATATGCACCTTTAATCATTTCAAAAGTTTCAGTTGGTGTTTTACCCAATCGAACACAAAATTTTATCGCGTATCTTGGCTCCACTTTCATTTTTCGATGGGTACGCAAAACACTGACAATTCAATAATTAATTTGTAACAAATGTCAAAAGTTAAATCAAAGCCTACTTGCGGGGTAGTACATTAAATATAAGGCTTTCATGTCTTATTTTTTGGGTCATAAAATGTTACCTCTGAAAGAAGTTATAGCACCAGTCTCGTTATATACTGATATATCCTCGTATACTTATAAAAATTAACGATTTTATTTAGATAACAAGAAACCGTTCAGAAAACAAATTATTTACAGTTTATCAGGTATCAATTTTGATTTGGTCATAAATAAATTTAGTCACTAGTAACTACCACATTTTTGCTTTTTTGCTAGCCACTTCTTTTGTAGGTAGTTGAGATTTCTGCCCCTCTAGAACCAACGCCTTTGTCGATTACTCGTTCTTCCTTGTAAATGCGAGTTGTAACTGTCGCTTTTTCCAGTTAACTCAGCTCGATCAATTTACAGCGTATAAATTACTGCGTGTAGGTTATAGCTTGAGGGTTACAGCGTGTGGATTACAGCGTGTGGTTTACAGCGGGTGAGTTATAGCGTGTGGGTTACAGCTACATTCATTCGTTTTCTAGACAAAAATAGATTTTGTTTTTCACGTGGCTCTTGTACGATATATAAATTAAATTTGAAACATCTACTTTTTTTAAAAAAATGAACCAAGATACAATAAAAACTAGTGACTATAAACATTGTGCCGTTCTAGCAACCAGAATTAATCATAAAAATATATTTAACTTTACTATCAAAAAACTAATAATTAAGAGAAGGTTTGAGTAGTATTTCTACCGAGATATTTTATAAAGACATTATACTTTTTTATGCTTACCACTTTAACAGCCAAAACACCACCAGATACGAGCAAAAGGTAATAATAAATTAAATTTAAAAATCTAATGCGAGATCGTTTGGTTAGTGGTACTCCCACTTCAAGAAATTTCCCTTTCTTTAGAATATTGTGTGTGGTAAATAACTAAGTTCTTTATACAATGCCTAGACGCACAGGGGCGTAGCGCGTTTAATTTACATATAATTAGCAAACATTCTCAAAAGAGGCAGAAAATGTCATTATGCAACCAGCGTAGAGTTAAAAAGTGCAATAATTGTAATGTTTGATTTTTTCCAGAGCTTACTTTAGAAACATTATTTCTGGATCACTTCTTACAATTTTGGTGAATATGATATCTGGTTCAATGTTGCTTAGTAATCTGTTTAAAATAAAAACTCTAGCTAAAAACACCCTACTATGTTATTAATTTGTTTTTATTTTACTTATTAACAGCAATATTGAAACAATAAAATCGTTACGATTAATTGATATCAATTTATCCTTCGAAGTTATTAATCATGTTCCATCTACTAGTTGTGAAGTAGAAACTTTTCAACAAGATTAAACCAACACCAGTGTTCTTACAGCGAAAAACATAAAAGAGAAAAAGAAGCCAAAGTGTTTCAAAAGAAAGTTTAAGTCGTTGTTTAATGGAAAACATTACAAGTGTTTTAAGCTAATTTTTTTTTATATACTCGGAAAATACGCTAACCTTGCCTTTTCTTTAATTCATGAAATGTTTTCGTAATTATCTGAGTCCAATGGAGTTTGGAAATAAAGATTTCAGTTCTATGATTTTGTAACACAAACAGACGTTAAAATAAAAGTATTGGTATTTTAAAAAAGAAAGTAATGCATTATTTAATTAGGTCATTGAATTCAAAAGTCCCAGATATTAAAAAATTAATGACGTACTAAAATTTTTATCGCATCTCTCGTATTTTCTAAGGTTTAAAAGAATTATATGAAGCACCAAATTCACTAATAAACTTCAACCTCTGATTAACAGGGGAAATTAAGTGAATTTGGATTTCAAGAAACAATTTTATGACGCTACTAGGCAACCGGACAGCAAGCACAGATCATTATATCATAATAATTAAATTGTACATTCCAAAAAACATAATGGACTAAGGGGTTTATATAGAGTAGCCTAAATGACAAAATTACCCCTCAGAAATAATGAACAATATTTTTGAACCTCCAAAATAAAAACAAGACAAATTAAATTCATTTATTCATTCACTTATAGCCATTGTAACCATATTAAAACTATTAACAATTTTTACATTTTATACATGGTATATGTAAAAGGTGGGCCACCGATAACGCCTCGGTCTGTAGAGTCAAAATTATTTTTTATTAACCCTTCCAGCCCCAGTGGACGTACGACGTACGTCATTAAGCTATACTTTTGGACGTACGACGTACGCCAAGTAAAAATTAATCGAAAAAACATCAGATCATAGATTACTAATGTGAATAGATGGATAACTGAATGGTAAAATTCTGAGTCGATGTGCTGCCATCTATCAAATTGGAGTGGTACTAAAATTCAATATGGCCGCCACGAGCGGGCTTTTTGAAATTTAACTTTGTAGTAGCGCAAAAATGTAATGAAGAAAATCAAATAAAGCAAAAAAATTGGAAACATATTTGACTAGTTTCAAATCATAAAACAACCATATTAACTGTTTTGTGATTTGAAATTAGTCAAATATTTTGCCAATTTATATCTTTATTTGATTTTACTTCATTATATTTTTGCATTAATTTCAAACTTGAAATAAAATGCAATTTATTTAATATTTTTTATTACAGTAAATTAACGCCGCATCATATAATTTATCTATTTAAACATGGAAATAGTCAAACAAATATGCATTTACATCATTTAAATAATTATATATTTATAAAACAAACCTATCAAAAATGTTTTTTGTAACAAAATCAGCATATATAAGTGTTCAAGACTTTTATAAAAGTTTTGCGACTTGGAGTGGCAAATAAGCTTAAAAAAATTGAAGTTGAAGCATCATCCTTTTTTACTATCGAGGAAAATTTGAGTGTAGATAAAATTTGCCATATGGTTATTGAGTTGACTAGTTAGGTTGAGGAGCATTTCTTCATCGGATAATTGTTTTCTTGATTCATTTATACAGAACTTGTAGTTATCAAATTTTTATTTATCATGTGGGCACTGTGATAAATGAATTTAACTTTTGAGCATAAATTAAACTTACACACATTTGGACCCTTGAAGATTTTAGGGTGTTTTCTTGGTTGATGTTTATGTCAATTGCATTGAATCAATTTTTGATATTGATGGCTGAGGCTCAAATATTTCATCGATTGACAAGGTATTTTGCAGGGCCAACATTTTCTTTACAACAATGATCATTTAAAAACTGAAAACAAAAAGAAATTTAAATAACAAACCAATTATTTTAACAGTGAATCAAAAAACAAGTTTGTAAATATTACTTACCGTTAGTATCAAACAGTGATGGTGCATTTTTCTTTAAGACACTTATTACAAATTATAAATTATTTGATTATCCTTAATATGACGACTGCATATTTAATGTGGTATAAATTGCATCACTACCAATATCTGGGAGTGCTTTATTGTTTGTTGCTGACATCCATCTTCCCATCGTTTGAAAACATGCTTAAAATTGGAAAATGTCGAAAAATAAATCTAGATTCTAGATAAATCAAAATTCAATACACCTTTGTACACCTGCCATTTTAATTTCGCCAAGTTTGAAGTTTTGACGAGCTGACAACTGACATGACATTTCGATACGAGCGCCATCCCGTTAATTGGAGTGGTACTAAATTACCAACCTCATGTTTTCCATTTAAGTTACCAGCCCCTGCATCAGATCATGTTTGTTTACCTTCTTTTGAGTTATGGATTACACACAAAAAAATTATCAGTGCTTTCTTGATGACTTGATAAAAAAAAAACGTTTAATAAATAAATCGTTTAACACTAATGTTTATTTAACATTCGTAGCTTATGGCAATAACCGAATAGGTACATCTCAAAATGCTTGGCAAAACTACCTATAAGTATGTTCATAAAAGTTTGATTTATAATGTAAACTTTAATTTTCTTGACAAAAAAAACTACTTCACCACAAATAAGGATTATCACGATCTTTTTTTTCGTTTACTATTTAGTATCTAAAATGAACTCAAGTGATTCAGATTCCGACTCCGATTTTTTGTTAGAAAATATCACTTCAGGTAGTGAATGTGAAAGTTTTGATGATATCAATGACAGAGAAAATATGTCAGACTATAGTAACGCGTCATCTATAGACAGTAATCCGCCTGGGTGGAATGTCATAGGTAATCCGATTGAAGATATACTGCCTTAGATAAAAGAAACCATACTGCCTAATCAAGTTTCAGAATTAATTGGCATTCCTTGTCCAAACACAGAGGTTTTCCCACATGAAGACGTATCGTTTACAAGGTCTGTAGATATGTTTTTATCTGAGGAAACCTTTAATTTTATTGTGCGATGCACAGATTTAAGAGCCGAATTATATTTTAATAATAAGCCGCAGCTAAATTATAAAATTCATGGGCTACAATGGCATAATGTAACACTACAAGAGATAAAAAATTTTTTTTGTTATTTACTAAATATGAGACTTGATAAGTCACAATTATCAATGTGTTGAAGTACAGGTCCTAATATCAACATATTATCGTAATATCGTAATAAGCGACTTAGCAAAAATCGATTTCCATCTAGGACGGTTACTTTTCCGGCAATAATCAAGTCAAAGCGTACTAGATTTTGCCGGTATCAGAATTTTTGCTCTCTGTACTTCTGACTTGTATATGTACAGCTTTGAAATTTATATGGGACAAGGACAGCAACAATTTGATTTTCAGGATGCCAACGCCCCAGATCTGTCACTATCAGAAATAATAGGGTTTTTTGTTAATTCGTGTTAACTGTCTTATTTTTGAATCTCTTTATTTATAAAATTAACCATTATTTATTGAATCAAACATTATAAACACAATCGCCTAAATCATAACAAGGTCAACAAAATAAATTAAATTACTGCAAATTAGCAGTTTTGCACTTGCTTACTTGAAAGATCTAATTTCGATATTTTGCAATAATATTTTTATACAATTAAAGAATTAAATTATTTCATATACAGGATTTTTATTTTATTTTCTTAATGTTTAAGATTAAACATACTGGCGGCTCTCAGATGGAGTGATTAGGCTTCCGTTGTCGCTTTGGTCCAGAGGCTGCAACTCAACTATCTTATGAGTCTCATTTTCGTTTTTCCTCCTTGTTCCAGATTGATTTCGTCGGCCTAACCGTTTGATAATTTGTATCCAATTCAGATGAGCAAAACCAGGATTATTGTGGTAGTTACACTTATGGCATGTGACGTATAGGAATGTTGCCTAACTTGTCTCGTATATCTTCTTGTGCAATTTATCTTGCAAATCGTTTTCCTCTGATGTTGCTTCAGATAAATTGCTAGTAATTGTAAGGAATACTTCCAGTCAAACTGATAGAACTAATTCCAGTGACATTGAGAACGGTCATTGAAGATTTTGCGTAGGCTCCAAGCACTGCTTCGGTTAACATTCTTTTTATCTGTAGAATGTTTTGTTTGGTCTTAATCATGCAATCTTGTGAGAGATGGATCACTCCGGTGATGTTGATTAAAACGTCATCTCTGCAAATTACAACCACTTTTGTTGGTTTGGCAGTGAAGAATAACCATATGTTGGGCATGTGTAATTGTTACCATACTATCGATTCTACTGCAAATTGCTTAATGCCGCAGTAAGTTTTTTCTGGCTTTTGGTTTATCTCACCAATGACACAGTTTAGACTTTTTGGGAGAACCAGACAGCGATCAATTTCTTCTTCACTCAGTGTGAAGTACACATCGTTGTTGTAGTCTACTACAAGGAAATTTCTGGGTATATCAAATATGCAGAATGGTCCATTCGCTCTTGGTAGCGGAGTTGGTGTTACTCGAACGAGATCATATGCTGTTATATCTATGATTACAAAAGATCTGAAGACTAGCATGGTTTTTTCTGTATATTCTATCTCCATTTTAACAGTTGGAAATGGTAATATTTTCAAATGTCCTTGCAGCTTTTTATTGGCATCATCAATCGCTTCTCAGACATGGGCAGGTGAGATCAGGTTGTAAAGTGTACCTTCAGTATACTGTACATGTAGTAGTCATGAGTGATACTGAATTAATTCATCTAGGAAGTTAGTGGCTACTTGATATGTACTTAGAATGTTGATATTTATTTTTTTCACGTCAGTAGTCGTATACCACTGCCTCATTTCATTTATGGAATCTAGTCCTTGATTCACCTTCTTTCTAAAGCATTCTAGTTGGTTTTGATTTCTGACTTCCGTCTCATTGATGTGGGATAACGTCAAAACGATTATTTTAGTTTATTGATTTGACGTTTTCATAAGTTCATCTTGATTCGTTTGTAGTGTTTCAATATCTTGATAAACTTCATCGTTGACTCCAAAGACTGATGTTAGAATCTTGCACAAAAATTCCCTTTTAGAACATTTTGAGTTGGACGTAGAGCTGATCTTCAAACGTTTCAGCTGCAATTCTTGTTCTTGCAGATGGTGCAATAGCGTGTGTAGCAATGAGTCTCATCGGAAAATAATTCTGTATGTAGACAATATGCATGGTAATCTTCTATCACTTGCTATGCATCATCACTAATGGAGCAAAGAGGTCTCTATTTGGCGAGTTAACATTACTAGTTCTGTTCTTCACAAGTTCATCTAGAATCACCAATTAATCTTTTCAAATGATGTTTCATGGATTTGACTTTAGCTTCCCATAATCCTCCAAAATGAGGATCAAGTGGAGGTATAAAATGCTAGTGAATATCATTTTGATGACATGGAATTTTGGATATCCAGATTTTTTATGATTCCAAAGACCTCATTCTGTAAATTTGTGTTTGCATCTACAAAGGTGGTGCCTTTATCGCTGTAAATATGAGAACATAGTTCTTTTCTTGAACTGAATCTTCGGAAGGCGGCTACAAATGTTTCTGTTGTCATATCGCTTACTACTTCTAAGTCAATTGGCTTTGTCGATAGACAACACAATAATTGTAGAATTGGTAACTTCATCCTTCTGTGGCTCTAACTTGAATTGGCTCAGTGTAACCTACTCCTGTATGGGTAAAGGAAGGAGATGGTGTTACTCTAGGCTTTGGTAATTGCCCCATCTGCTGCTGTGCAGTTTATTGTTTGTATCTTATACATCTTATGTATTTATTTACAACCCGTTTGACAGCTTGTTTTTCATTCGTAATCCAGTATTTTTGTCTACAATATGCAAGTGTCAATTGAATTCATACATGCAATATTCTCATTTGACTGCTATGTATTATTAGGTCTAAAGATCCCTTCATTATCAATCAAAGGGGTTAAATTGGATATTTTACTTGTCGTTTTGTTTGCATGACCATACTTTTTAAGTGCCCGGGTCTCCTGGTAGAAAATCCGTGCTTGTTCTTGCTTTATTATTTCTTTTAAGGCATCCAATTCTTGAGGAGTTAATGGATTTTAAGTCTTCTGCAGCGTCAGGAATCTTAAAATATTTGCAGAATAGTCATGTGTATGTAACCATTTTTGAACCCTTCCATTATAACGAATTATCTTTCAGCTTGGGAATACCCATTCCTCTAGATAAAGCGCCTGCTGGATTATCTTCCGTTTTAACGTGGTTCCAGTGTTTCTTTGGCACCAATGTTTGAATTTCAGAGACTCGATTTGCTACGAAAGTTTTCCATCTTTGTGCATTGCGTTTAATCCAGCTTAGTGCTATCATCGAGTCTGTCTATGCATGGAGATATACTGACTATTCTGAGGGCTTTGACTATTTGATCCATTAGTTTTGCTAACAGTACTGCAGAACACAGTTCAAGCCTTGATAAGGTGGTTTTTGTTTTTGCTAGAGCAACCTTTGACTTTGCAACCAGCAAGTTAGTGTGTGAGATGCCATCTGTTTTTGTTTTGCTGTAAATTACTGCACCGTACGCCTTTTCGGAAGCGTCACAAAACCCATGAAGTTTTATTTCAGTTTCTTCACAGTTTTGAAGTTTTCCCCTATGGTAGCAATTTGTTGATTCACAGGTTGGTCCCAGCTGATTTGTTGGAGCCAAAACTCTTGTATTAATATCTTTTAATTGTGATATAAAAATACAGGTTGATCAATTTTTTAAAACAAAAAGAGAAAATATTTTATTTAAGTCTTGACTCGCCCTGTACAGATTGGTTTCTAATTGAACAAACTAATACATCGGTATAAATTTTAACCATACGGATTATTGAAATCAATACGATTTTTATATAAAACACACACATAGTCACGTAAAAATTCGTCAAAAAATCGAAGTCGAAAAAAAATCATGTTTTCTGTACTCTACATTTGTAAACAGAAAAAAGAAAATTTATATTTATTTCTTTTATTTATAATAAGTAAAATATTTTTATTAAATATAAATTTTTTTTTTCGACGACCACTACAGAAAATTATAAATTCCGAATTGTTTTTTAAAGGTCAAAGTAGGCAATTCCGTACACATTCATAATTAGTGTGGAAATATTATTCCACACGGTAATTCCACACTGTTTAGTGCATCGAATAAATTGTCGTATAACCTTTAGTATGAATGTAAAAACACAATATTATATTTTAAGGACATATCTATTTAACTAAATATTTCGTCGAATACTACAAAATTCAGTTAATTTAGAAAAAAACTTAAAATAATTTATAATTTATGTAATGTTGGTTGCCTATATAAAGGGGATAATACAACAAAAATTTAAATCGAGTTACCCGATTTAAAATATTGACATTTCAAATCTTGACATTTAATTTATTTTATTTCGATACTTTTGAAAACTATAAATAATAAAATAAACAGTGATAGTAATAGTAGTGATAATAATTATAATACTTCACCACATATTAAAGAAATAGCGAATAACATTACAGAAGACTTATTGCCTCAAACATCGGCGAAAAAATACAACTTAGCTTATTCAAGATTTATGGATTGGCAACTACAAAATAAGGTAATCTTTTAAATCTTCTACATTATGGTCAATTTACTCGATGTTGAGAACTACATTGTCAATAAGGCAAAATGTAGATATTTCACGCTATCAAAAATTGCGCTCGTTTCTGAAAAGAAAGTCTGAAGGATATGTAGCAAAAAAGTCAAAAATACTTACACCTGAACAAATCAACCAATTTTTGCATGAAGCTTCCGATGATGTTTATCTACTTATAAAGGTAAATACTTAATAATATGAGAGATTAATATT